CGGCACTTGAATCTTGAACATTTATATATAGTTAATATTTGTTTTGGTGAGAATAACTGTTTGGCATGAAATCAGAAACCAGATTTTTGGAAGCCCTTTTATCCATGGAAGAGATGGGTGGGCATCCACAAAAGCAATTTTGATAGCAAAGTCACAATTGTCAATAGATGAAGAGGGATTAATAATAACTCCATTAAAGGTGCCATTTTCCTGTATGATGACATTAATTAGAACCTTTTGCATCAGGATCTTATTGGTGACCAAATTTTCAATTGAAGGCTCCAATGCACATTTTAATGACAAGTAGCTTGTCATAAGCCATGAATTTTCTTGTTTCTGCCTAAAACATACTGGTTGATTTTTACAGTACACTGGAATTTAAGGAGACTGTATATTTTTATGAACAACTGTTTCCTCAGCAACATTGAGCAGCTGCAGCCGTGATAAATTAATTAAGTAGTGGTTTTGAGCCAGCGATGCTCTCTGCAATATGGTATACTGTTTGGTTTAATAAAGCAAAGAAACTGTTTCATATTTTAATTTTCTACACATTCTGGCTGACAGTCAGGGTGCAATACTGGAGAAATAAAAATGTCAGAAATGTATTGAATTGCTTATTTTGTTAACCAAGAGGAAAGTTAGTTTATTTCTTTCAGTTAACCCCTTGAGGTCAATTATGAAGCACAGTGAAGACACTGGGCTGTATTTTCAGGCCCCACAGATGTCAGCAACAGAGGTACACAAGGCCCAGAAATTACAAGGCCTGTTGGCAAGCTGGCTCTTTGACCTATTCTCCTGATTTTGGCCAATGTGGGACTGGACCCTATAAAAGCTGCCCATCCTATGAGGAGAGCTGACAATTAGGCTTTTTTAAAGCCTTGTTAGGCAAGAATTAAGGACGGTGACAGGGATTTTTAAGTTAATCTCCAGATTTCTGATTCAACTGGGGCAGATAACATGCTCAAAGATGGGCACCAAGCAGCAGACATTTTTTTATTTCCATGTTCAGCTTTCTAGACATTATTCATGGGTGTAAACAATCAACAACGTTCATAGCCTATTGATTGAATGTGAAAGTGATGCAGTCATTAGATACCATGAAAATAATATTGGCTAGGCAAATGTTGAATTAACTTATTACAGAAGAGATGCAGTAATATGATCTTATTTAAGTTTTTAGGCTTATACGTGGTATTGATTATTATTAATATGGCAATCTTGTTCAATAGGAACTGAGATGCTTAATTTTGCTTGGTGAAAACAAGACACCTTCTGTCATGGGTCAGGGAATGCGCTTCCAATGAATTTTCTGAATGTAACTGCAGAAAAAATAAATTAGAATTTAAAACAATTTAAGGGATCTTTGGGTGAGAAACTACACTTTGTTCATTTCTGAAAACTAAATCTGAACACTTGCTGAGACGAGTGGGTTAATTGTTTGCGGGAAGGCTGAATTGCCGGAACAGCTTACCAAATCCTAAAGTTTAGATTAAAAGTTGTTTCTGCTAAAATGTATATCTTTCAACATCATTTTCAAGACAATTATTGAAAAGATTAGAATACAGCAACCCAGATGTTGTGAAACTTGAAGGGGTTCAGAAAAGATTTACAAGGATGTTGCCAGAGTTGGAGAGTTTGAGCTTCAGGGAAAGCTGATTAGGCTGGGTCTATTTTCCCTGGAGTGTCAGAGCTGAGGAGTGGCCTTATAGAGGTTTATAAAATCATGAGGGGCATGGGTAGGGTGAATAGCTAAGGCCCTTTTCCACCGGGTAGGGGAGTCCAAAACTAGAGGGCATGGGTTACAGGTGAGAGGGGCAAGATTTAAAAAGGGACCTGAGGGGCAACTGTTTCACGCAGCGGGTGGTGTGTGTACGGAATGAGCTGCCAGCAGAGGTGGTGGAGGATGGTACAATTACATAATTTTAAAGGGCATTTGGATGGGCATATGAATAGGAAGGGTTTAAAGGAATATGGGTCAAATGGAACTAGATTAATTTAGGATAGCTAGTCGGCATGGACAAGATGGACTGAAAGGTCTGTTTCCTTGCTGTACAACCCTATGACTCTATGACACATTCAGTGCCATAAAAATGTCATTATTGCACTCATGTGTATAAATCTGCTAAATGCAAGTCTTCCTCTGGACATTAGTTCAGAAAAAAAGACCAAAGAAATGGTAGAAAGTCCAGATTGTGATCTGTGCTTTGCGTGTTTAACTTTTCATTTTGAGAGAACATTCCTTTCTACTGAAGAATTTTGTATTCATTTTATAATACTCCAATGTTTACTGCAGCTGTGATGAATATTTCTATGAACCTTTCCTACATTACAATACTGACTATGCTCCAAAGATACTTTGGGTCCTCCTGAGGTACTATATAAATGTAAGTTTCTTTCGTATGAATGTGAGGGTGGATCATGGATCCAAATAGTGTAGTGCCCTCTGCAGGGCATCTAGAACCTGCTTGATTAGGGTGGCTCCATGTGTGTCTTTAAAAATAACATTGTGGGATTGAGGGTTGAACAGTCTGGTGTGTGAACTAAGCTCAGCTGGAATAGTGAATACAATGTTAAATCAGGTACATAAAGCAAAACAAAAAGCAGAATGTCTGTTCCCAACACAAAACATGGTTATAGTGATCACCTTGCACCTTTGATAGCATGCCAGTGTAACATGATATTTCAAACCAGTTGAAAGATCTGGGAAAGCCCAGCAACAAATATAATCAGCCTGTAAATTTCTTTGCGGCACTTCAGAAGACTGTGAAATAGCTTGGTCTCTATGCAGGTGCAGTGTGACATTAAAATTATTATTTAGAGATTATTTAACAGCCAGCAGAAGGGCTGATTTTCAAAGAAATGTAAAGACTAATTATAACTGTTGTATTTATCCAGATCTTACAACTAGGTTCAAAATTAATATAAGCAGTTGTCTGGTTACTTGTTTCCTACTTGGAATGAATTTTGGCATAATGGATGCGGTCGATTTTTGTCACATTCAGTTGGATGCAACACTCACACAGTTCTGGTGATGCCAATAAACACAACCAATAAAAGGACTGGAAGAAATATTGGATTAAGAGATTTTTTTTTAAAAAAAAAGCAAAGTTTTCTAAAAAAAATTCTGACAATAAGTAAAATTTGAAGAAATGTGCCTCCATCAGGGATCTATATATTTAGGATTTTCTTGAGATTGTCTCCAGGGTTACTTTGTGGTTTTTTGGAGCTACTCTTTGCTTTTCAATGCCTCCTTTCACATGCTCACTAATCAGTTAGTAGGTAATGAGGCCACACAATAACAGTACTTTCTGTATTTGTGTTGTACATTTTTAGGATTTCCTTCTTTAGGTAGATAAGTTTGATACATTTATCATAAATTATCTTTTCCACACTGTGTTTCCAAAGTGAAAATTCTCAGTATTTGGCACAAGGTAAGTTATTGGGAACGAGTTACATACCTGAAGCCACTTTTAAAATTTAATTGCAAGGAATTTAATACTCTCCAGCATTTTTAGGTTTTGTCCTACAAATTTCAAGTTTGACAAACATACTGACTTCAAAGGTCAAACTACGCAACAACAGCCATGCACTGAAACCATTTTCGGCGGCACGGTGGCTCAGTGATTAGCACTGAAGCCTCACATCACCAGGGGCCCGGTTTCAATTCCAGCCTCGGGCGACTGTCTGTGTGGAGTTTGCACATTCTCCCCATGTCTGCGTGGGTTTCCTCCCACAGTCCAAAGATGTGCAGCCTAGGTGGATTGGCCATGCTTAATTGTCCATAGTGCCCGGGGATGTTTAGGTTAGCTGGGTTAGACGTTGGGAAATGCAGGGGTAGGGGAATGGGTCTGGGTGGGATGCTCTTCAGAGGGGCACTGTGGACTTGATGGGCCGAATGGCCTGTTTCCCCACTGTAGGGATTCTATGATTTCTGCAGCATCAGGCTAACCATCAGATTAAAAAAATGCTTTAATTCATGGAGAGTTCATATCTCAGTGGGAGGGGTAGAAATCGCCTGTTGTCCCATTTTGCACCCTGAACTCTGTAGTTCTAAAAGTGAATTTTAAAAAAAGTAAAGTAAAAGTTAAGGTGTTGACAGTAAATAAGACTGTTCACTCTGTTACCAAGAGGACAGACTGAAATGTACATGCGCCTACCTTGATTGGCCGCAGTATCAGTATAGCACCGGGCTTCCTCATGAGGGGTGGGGACGTGGGGTATGTTGTGACCCCACCAATGGGACTGTGAGCTCTCAGTTTGCAGTCGTTAGCTTCAATTCCGCTATCAGCAGTGCTCCGACTGACTCCTCCCTCTGACATGCACCCCTATTCCCCTACTTACACAGACCCCCAGTCTCGGTGACATTGTCTGGTCACAGTTTACAGTCCTCCAAGAGTTTGGGAAGCCCTGCTACAGGAATTGCACGCCTCTCAGTGTAATGTAATGTCAGCAGCCGGCGCCGTGCTTCTCCTGGTTTTAACGAAACCTGCTACCCCAGGCAGCAAATTCTGGGTGTCTGCACTCAACTGTTGCACATGGGCTGGCCTGAAGTTTCTGTGCGAGTTGGCACATTAATAATCGCCAGTCTGCACGGTTTTTATAGCCAAAGCACTAGTTAGGGACTGGCTCACCGGAATCAGAGCTGGTGGCGCGGGATCTGAAGGTTGTGCTTTTTATCAGTTTGTAGATTTCATAGATTAGCCGCGTTCCTCAATTTCACTCCCTCCTGGTGGTATTGAGTTTCTCTGCAACTCGATTTCTAAGTGCACGGTTTCGGTAAATAATTCTTTCACGATATTTTGCGCTTAATGTCAAATGCTACTGCAGGTCTAAGAGTGAAAGGGGGTGGAAGTTTTCTATTACAAACGGGAAAGAAAGGCAGGCACATTTTATACCCAATGATCAAGTAGGTTGGTCCTGGGGAGGCTGCTGTTGTCTCTGGGACTGTGAGCGAGTGAAAGTATTTGAGTGGAGCTCTCTCTCTCTCTGTGTCCCTCCAACCCCTCCCCCTTGCCCCCCTCCCTCTCTCCCACCCTCTCCAGATCAGCCTCGCACTAACTGGCCAGCTTCGAGTGCAGGCGGCCAGCGCTGAATCCAAGGCTCTCTGCCCAGGTACTTTTTGGCGTCAACTGCTATTTTAATTACTGTTATAAATTGTTACAGTTGGTAGTTAGCAGAGTAGATGGAGGGATGCAGTAAGGAATGTATAAGGAAGAAATTAAATAACTCGTGGAAAGACTAAATTCATTGAGTTACATTTCCTACAGCTGATGTGATTTGAAGACTCGGTTAATAGCTTAGTAACCAGATTGCAAGCAAATCAGATTACTTTTGTGAAGGATATTGCTTCATGTCTCGTATTCCTATCACTACTTTTGACCAACTTGCTTTAATCAACTCGGACTGGGCAATATTAGTGCTGTCAGTTTAATTTTAATGTTTTAGCATGAACTACCTCGCATGTGATAGCATTGTTTTTCGTTAAGTCCTGTAGCTTTTTTTTTAAAGAAAAAGCAGGGATCAGCCTATGGTGACATATTATTACCTTTTATAAGTGTGTTCAGTGTGAACGTAACATTTTTAATCTTCTGTATTGGTTGAGGGCACACCGCGACTAATGTGGCGATCCATGGGTTATCTGTGAATGCTGCTAGCATCCAGAGGCTTGTTATTGAACAAACTCTAAATTTAGTGCAGATTGGTCGTGTCTTAATCCGGCTGTGACGGATAGGAGTTGAAACCAAGAGATGGAAATTGGAGAAAAAAAAAATATTGTGGTCCCGAAATAATTTTGGGAACCCGAGATTGAAGTTGCTGTGTTGCAGGTATGGCATTTTATAGGATAGTATTTCAACACTGAATCGCTCAAGTCCTTGTCAAGTAACATGACATTTCTATCATCCCCCGCGTCGGGCACAGGTTCTTGTATTTTATAAACAAGAGATTAACATTTTGCTATATTTGCAAGCTTCATGGCTGATAGGATGTTCATAATTGGTGTAAACAAAAAAACACTGTACAGATCACTAAGTGGTACATCATCCCTTCCCTGCCCCACTGTTTCCTTTCACTTTCTAATACAGGCAAATAAGCTGTGTGAAGAAGCTTCATTAAATTCTTCATCACATTTATTGAAATGATCTGTCACAGACATCTGTACAAGTTTCTGCTGAAGCACTGTTGGCAGTAGGTGGAGACCAAATCACAAAATAATGAAGTAAATACAAAAAGTCGATTTGAAGATAGCCATGAGAATAACCTATGGAATTTCGTGGTCATGAGGATTTGGTTGTGGCCGAGGCTATTTAGTAATGCCTGCTCTTCTGCTCCTATGATGCTGCTTGGCCTGCTGTGTTCATCCAGCCCTGCACCTTGTTGTCTCCTGAAACGATACCTGGTCTACTATGAGCTTTGGAGATGCAACATACAAGTTTCTATTGTGCTTTGGGGGAGAGTTGCTCCTTTTTCTAAAAAGAAAACTTTCAGGACATAACCAACCAAATTGGGAAGGTTCTTCGTTTACTAATGAAACCTTCAAATTCCTTTTTCAATCTGGCTAGCACTGCTGTAAATGAGATTGAAGTATGTGTCAGCAATTCTGTAGCCAATTTGAATATTTAGGCAGTACATATAGGGTGTTAAATAACTAACATTCAATAAATTGGCTTATTATTGGCACAAGCCCACTATACATAAATGGGAAGTACAAAATAAACCCTTTTGGAAAACCCTTTCCTTTTCAAAGATTTTATCAAGCATACAAACACGCAAATTGCTGAGTTTTTCACTGATATCTATTCAAATACAAGAGATTCTAATCTTACACCAAGGTCATTAACACCACCCCCTCAGTGAATAGCAATCGTTAAAGACTGACGAGTACTCCAAAAGATAGCCTTTCATTTGATTCTTGCTGTTATTTTCTCCTGATCAGTGATTTGGATTTATCCCTGCCATGCTTCACCAGGTTTGCTGAAATAATCACTCGGTAGTTATGGTTTCTCCCAGTAGGTGTTCAAAATTTCTTGAATTAACATAGAAAGTTCTTCCTGCTTGAAATAGAAAGGAACTTGGATCAAAATTTGAGGTCTTCTTTATTGTGCACCTAAAGCTATTGGAATCGGTGCTGCAAATGTCCTTAGATGGTGCCTCATTTCTTCAAAACAGCCCAAGATTTCTCCTGTGATGATTTAATGTTGCTCCACCTAAGCTTCTTGCCAAGACAGAATAAATCTATTCTCACTAATATGTTGTTAGTTTGTTTTTGCTGAGATTAATTCAGTAATATTAAGTGATACAGTTTAAGTGAATCACAGAGGATTTTGTCTTTTGTGCGACCGGATTGAAGCATTTATCAACTATGTGTTGACAATGTAAAATATTACAAAACACAAAAAATGCTAACCTTGTGTTTGTAAAATATTTAAAGAAGTGTAGAGAGGAAAGCAGAAAAAATAATTGCATTATTTGGTAAAGGTCTGCATAACCCTAGTGAAATATAATATAAATTCAACTGTCTCACAACATACAGAACATATGTTACCTGTATTTCCTTTTGTTAATGCAGCAGACTTTAGTTTCAGCTCTGTCCAGTCTGTTCAAACCAAACAATGTTAAAATTTCGAACAATTTGTACTGCAGAGAATGTGAGCCATGGCTTTATAAATTACACATACCACTGTTTCCTTTTATTCCCTACCTCTTACCCAATTCTCTACTCGTGCCAAAAAAGTTGTTCTTCATTCCACACACTTCCATTTTATCTAATAACCCGTAATGAATATACAGATGAGTATGAGTCAGGAGCACATATAGGCCACTTGGGCATCTTTGAAAGCCTGACATGATTGTAACCTTCAACTTCATTCTCCTACCTATCTTCAGTAACCTTTCGCCCCATTGTTTGCCAGGAATCTATCGTCCTCTCCCTTAAAAATATCCAAAGACTCCTCTTACACAAGTTTCTTGTAGAAAAAATTATCAAATGCCTTCTGGAAGTCCAGGAACTAATGCTTCTAGACACACTGTACCATATTAGTGGCATCCTCAAACTTTCAAACAGTTTAGTTAGGCATGCCATTCTTTCCAAATCCGTGCTGGTTCTTTCTGATCACTATAGATTTGTCCAAGTCTTCAATCACTTTGTCCCTAGTAACATCTTCTGGTAACTTTGCTACAATAAATGTTAGATGGTTCTCGTTTCTCACAATTATCCTTCTTATGTTATTAGTTTAAAAATGAGCTATCCAAGTAGCCTAAAAATGCTCCATGTCTTAGAATATAGGAACTGTATTCATATATAACATATATGCATATATATTTCATATATAAACTAAGTTTATTTCTTAACCAAGCCAAAGAAAAATATCTATTTCATGTATCTGTTGATAAATTTATGCTCACAATCTAATTACAATCATACGAGTTCCATACAGCACAGGAAATTGTAAAATTAAATGGAAAGCTTATTTTTGAATGAAGCTTATTGCTTTTTGTTAATTAGAAATACTTCCTTTGACAGAATAATCCTACAGATCCTTGGTAATGGTTGGATAAACCGGATGTGGGATGATAAAGCTGTGGCTGAGGGAAGGAGCCTTGAAAAAACTGACCAATTTGCCCAAATTGCAAACAAAAGTGCTGTAATTCCAGCAGGAACTAATCTGCAGAATTCCACCCATTAAATCCAAAGATACTGCCTGGATATATCCAACATTTTCTGTTTTTATGGTTTTCATTAGTGGATGTATGATCTGATCATAACTTACTTTTGTAATGTTAGGTCACATATCTTTTCAATTTTAAAAGTTGTTTCAATATAGAACTGAGTGATCATTGGGACTGTGAAACTGTTATTTGTGCCATGCAAGCAATAAACTACAGCTTTCCTCCACTGTCTTCTGAGGCCAGGGATGATCTCTAAAATCTTTGAAGTTTCATTCATGTTTTGTCACTTCCATCAACAAATTAAATAGGGTAGTGTGAATATGAGCTTGGAAGACTGAAACAACTTAAAATAATAGTCTAAACAGTGAATCTGCCCCAGCATTGTTCACAGTAAATCTATAGGGACAGGAGTATTATACCATGCAGAATGCAACTCTGTTCTGTTATAAAGGGCAATCTGAGTTCTCTTAATTCTCCAATATTTAATTACAATAAACAGGAACATCTTGTGATTAATTTTGAAATAAATCCTGAGAAGCGCATCTTGCAGGTATTTTTCTGTGGATTGCCAAGGTGATTTTAAACCTTGGGGTTATCTCCTCGGTCAGAAGATTAGAAAAGAAGTTTGGTCCAGACAGTGGTACAGACTTGATGGGCTGAAGGACCTCTTCTGTACAGTATGGTCTTTGACTGCAACATAACGCTCTTGATTCATACCAGGGCAGAGATTGTGGTCTGTGGATGCTGCTTTATAATGTTCAAGCGGCACTGTGGCTCAGTGGTTAACACTGCTGCCTCACAGCGCCAGGACCTGGATTCAATTCCACCCTCGGGCGACTGTCTGTGGGGAGTTCGCACGTTCTCCCCGTGTCTGCGTGGGCTTCTTCTGGGTGCTCCAGTTTCCTCCCACAGTCCAAAGATGTGCAGGCTAGATGGATTGGCCATGCTAAATTGGCCGTAGCGTTCAGGGATGTGTAGATTAGGTGAGTTATAGGGGATGGATCTTGGTGGGATGCTGTGAGGGTTGGTGTGGACTTGTTGGGCCGAAGGGCCTGTTTCCACACTGTAGGGATTCTATAATTCTAATTCTTAAAAAATTTCTATCAAATTACTGTTTTAACTTGCAGCCCTGTGTGATGTGATGTTTGTAGTGTGCTGTCCACCTGAAGGACAAGGGACACAACACTTTAATTTTGGAGGAATAATGGATAATGACAATACATGATTTCACGCATTGCTAATATCGCTAACTGAAATGAATGGGATATAATTTGATGCTGAATGATTAATGTAGAAAAGAGGGAATTAATGGGAAAATGGCCTGATATGTTTTAAAGAAGTGAATGGGAATTATTTATACTAGTTAATAAAAGCAAATGTGTTGTGATTTCACATAGTGAAGTTCTAAATCATGAGAATGACTGCATGAAACTATGAATGGGCATATTGCATTTATTTCTAATTTTGGAACAGAATGAAATATGTATTCATCTATTACATATGGCTATGTTTCAGAATGACAGGGAAGACATTGGCCTAAAAGGGTTTATTTGTTTATTTTCTTATCTCTAAAAAAATTGGCAGCATTATCTTCCTTTTTTAAATTATTTCCATTTATTTCTTTTGCTTATTTTCATTTTCCAGCTGGAAAAATAGACACTTAAATGTTATAAAATCTAGCAACCAGACAGAATAGGTCATGCAAAAAGAATAGACTAACGTTCATTTATTGTAGTTAGTGTTAATCTCAATCAAAGGACTCAAACTTAAATTCTTTGGAATATGACCTTTATTATAGTAAACCTTTTCTTTATTTATTTTCAGGTGCATTTGATATCACTTCAGGTTCTGGGGTTGCCTAAAAGGACTACGTACGTTCCAAGTTACTTCAGTTTTTTTCTTGGATACGGAAGATGGAAGAATCACAGTGTTAACAAAGGCTGAATTGGAGAATCCAAGAATGGACAGAGACTGATTTCACTGAAATAATCTTTAATCTTTATCTCCAACATCTCAGTAGCAGTTGCCTTGGTGCCAACAGCCAATACAAATTCTCAGTGCTAACTTTGTATTGTTGGTGCCTTGGTGAAGAGCTCAGTTGGTCTCTTGTTAAGGTTCTCCCAACGCGTCCTTCCTGCTGATTTCTCAGACATCTCTTGGTGCAGAGATGACTGAGCTCACAGGCAGGGTGTCTCCAGGCCCATTGGGTGTTGTTGCAGCTTCCTGTGTATCCAAGGTGGAGCTACGTGTTTCCTGTAAAGCTTTGCTGGACAGAGATACTCTCAATAAATCTGACCCATCTGTGGTACTTATGATGCAGTCTCAGGGACATTGGGTGGAGGTAAGTGACAATCAATAGATGTTACCTGGTTTAAAAGGCAATATCAATGTGCTTGTGCCTAAGTGTATTTATGAAAAGTTTGTATAATGTGTTTCAAATAACGTGGATTATGAGAGATAGTAGGAACTGCAGATGCTGGAGAATCCGAGACAACAAGGTGCAGGGCTGGATGAACACAGCAGGCCAAGCAGCATCATAGGAGCAGAGAGGCTGACGTTTCGGGCCTAGACCCTTCATCAGAAAAGGGGGAGGGGAAGGGGGTTCCGAAATAAATAGGGAGAGAGTGGGAGGCAGATAGAAGAGGGATAGAGGAGAGGATAGGTGGAGAGGAAACAAACAGGTCGAAGAGGCGGGGATGGAGCCAGTAAAGGTGAGTGTAGGTAGGGAGTTAGGAAGGGGATAGGTCAGTCCAGGGAGGACGGACAGGTCAAGGGGGTGGGATGAGGTTGGTCGGTAGGAGATGGAAGTGTGGCTTGAGGTGGGAGGAGGGGATAGGTGGGAGGAAGAACAGGTTAGGGAGGCAGGGACGAGCTGGACTGGTTTTGGGATGCGGTGGGGGGAGGGGAGATTTTGAAGCTTGTGAAATCCACATTGATACCATTGGGCTGCAGGGTTCCCAAGCGGAATATGAGTTGCTGTTCCTGCAACCTTCGGGTGGCATCATTGTGGCACTGCAGGAGGCCCAGGATGGACATGTCGTCTGAGGAATGGGAGGGGGAGTTGAAATGGTTCGCGACTGGGAGGTGCAGTTGTTTATTGCGAACCGAGCGTAGGTGTTCTGCAAAGCGGTCCCCGAGCTTCCGCTTGGTTTCCCCGATGTAGAGGAAGCCACACCGGGTGCAGCGGATGCAGTATACCACATTGGCAGATGTGCAGGTGAACAGGATTATGAGTTCTGTTTCCATTAAAACTGGTCGATAAAGATAAACATAGAGACTTCCTAATAACATTCCTAGCTAAGATAACAGGTAAACTATTCCACTTTATTGCCCATAAAACACATGGCAAAGATGTGAAAGGCACTATTTGACAATAAGATAATTATTTTCTTCTTTCAATACCTGTGAAACTGAGTCTCAGGAGACATGTGAGACAGACTGTGACCTAATATCCTCTCCTCTTTGTTATGGGAAACACTTTGTCTAAGTTTGTTGCCTTCTTTTTCCATTTGAATGATTCTAAAGGAGAATCTAAAAGGACTTGGGGGCAAGGTCAAAAAAATGGAATTGAAGTAGTGTATTCCACTCATTAACTAACAGCACAAATCTCTTACTAAATACTGTATTTCCCAATATTCTTTGATTTTTATCCTTGTTTATCCCTCGGACACAAAGATGATGAGAGTCAATGTACAGGAAATTGTGCTTAACTGCAATTACTTCATGATTATGTAATGGGATTTAAGAGACTTTCTCTGATAAATGAAGTATGTAATATACAACCATCTCATGTATTTGCTTCAATTAAAAAAAATGACTGTGTTTACATTAGTGTTCAAGATGGATGGAGCAGTGGGGCGGGGCTTCACACCCAAAAATCAATCATGGGAGCAACCAATGAGAAAAAACGTTGCCTTACACATGGAACAGAGAAAGTGTCTAGGGAGCAGCTCCTCCAATCACAGGCTAGTAAGAGAACCAGCCTGTGATTGGAGGAGAAGCTCACAGTAATGTGATTGGTGGTGGTGAACAGATCAGGACTGGAGCCATGGCAGCATGAGTAATCAGGTAGGGGCACAGGATGAGGTAGTGGGAAGCTGTGACTGAGATGGAGGCTGCAAGGTGGGGTGTGGAGGTGGGTTATATCCTCTGGTTCCTGTAATGTTAGAAGTAGGCATACCTTAGACTTTGAAATGGTAGAACTCTGTGCTTATACAGCTTGCCATGTTATCTGGTCAGAAGACTGATCTAGGCATATGTTCTGTTAAATGTTACCTAACTCTCCAGAGCACCCATATAAGTGATCCCCTTGAACTTTACACATGGCTAGTTAGTTCCTAACTCTTTACGGACAACACACCAATATATAGCTGGGGGTGGGGGGAGCTGCAAGTGGGCAAGGAGAGAGGATGATAGCAAGCTAAGGGAAAGAATGAGAAGCTGATACATGGGATAGAAGGAAGTTGTAAAGTAAAGAGAATAATTTTAAACCAGTCAAGGAAATATTGAGCTGAATGGAGGCAAGAAAACATGGAGTCACTGATGCAACAAATTCCTTGCAAATAAATATTTTGCTGAATGTTGTATGAATTCAGGGGCTATATGAGAAAATGTAACATTTGGTATTTTAATGAGTACTGTCAGTTGTTAAATCTGAATTTGAGATCTCAGATACATTAAAAAGGATATTAACTATCTGGTTAAAATCTGTATCTGTAAGAGGGAAATGCAGTAACTGTGAGCTCACTAGCCTATGGAAGGTTTATTTAAAATGATGGCATTTTGTGTGGAGGTGTTTGCCAGTTATTTCACAAAGAAAAGTCTTTTGCTAACTTTTATATTATGTTGTGTCAAATACTGTGGTGTTTAGGCAATTAATGTCTTGCTTTTGCTTTGTGGCTTTGTGTTTGATGGAATAATGATTTTGGATATTGATGAATTTTTCTAATTCTATGTCTGCAAAACCAAATTCCACATGTCAACACACGTACAGAAGGTATTGTTACTGTGTGACTGCACCAGCTAATGTAGATATTAATGAGAATGAAAGAGGAGCCACTGAAAATCAAAAAGCAGCTGTCAAGAAAAACCTCAAGAAGAGCCCTCTAAGAGCTGTTTTCACCCTGGTGCATTGCCATAGTTCACTGATTACTTGTCCTAAGGGAATAAGTTAAGGACAATTTATACTGAATATACTGCATCCAAACAAATGGAGCAGCTCAATACTCAACGCATGATTAGAACAATTTCTCAACTACAGGAAAGTGTTTTCGCTGTAACTGGTCCTCCGATGAGTTCTGCGACCTTCATGAAAAATAAAACACTTTCATCTACCAGCAGAACCTTCTTAATAAATCTCTTCAGTGAAGCTACAGCTGTCTTAAATTTAATTCAAGCAGAAACAGGTTAAATATTCTTTATTTCAGGCAGCCAATTATTATGGAACATATCCTTTGGATATTATTAAAATAACTGCATAGTTAATGCATGTGCATGTCGATTTGGGTCCATCTGAATCTTATTGAAGTAACTCCTGCTGACTGTTATTGTTAGGTACCAGTATTTATTAGTGACTTTTAGACCTTGTGGCACAGCGGTATTGTCCCTACCAGAAGACCTGGGTTCAAGTCCAGCCTGCTCCAGAGGTGTTTCATAAAACATCTGAAAAGGTTGATTTAATGGATAAATCAAAACTTGCTTTAAAAGAAGAAAGGGCTCCCATTTAATGTATTCATGGGCTACTTGTTTTTTTTTTAATTAAGGGGGTGTGGGCTTTGCTGGTTAGTCCAGCTTTTATTGCTCATCCTTAGCTGGATAAGGTGGGAATGAACCATGTTCTTTAGCTACTACAGTCCATTTGGTGTCAGTATGCCTGCAATGCACTTAGGGAGGGAGTTCCAGGATTTTAACCCAGCGATGCTGAAGGAGTGGTGATATATTTCCCAAGTCAGGATGCTGAGTGACTTAGAAATGAACTTTCAGGTGGTGGTGTTCCCATGTATCTGCTGCCGTTGCCCTTCTAGATAGTAGAGGTTGTTGGTTGGGAACGTAAGCCGAACATCTTGCAAACTTTGGTGAACATCCCCTCTTACAACCTTATGATGGAGGGAAGGTCATTGATGAAGCAGCTGAAGATGATTGGGCCTAGGACACTACCCTAATGAAATACCTCTCAGCCAGGAGGTCCTGGTTTTGAGTACCACCTGGTCCAGATGTGTCTAGTAACATCTCTGATCAGGTCGATTAGAAAACATCTAGTCTGAGGAACTCCTGAAGAGATACTGAGAAGGTCTTCAAATGAGCATCATTACTTATTGCCAATCTCCGACATTTTCCCCATACCCTTGCATATTATTTATGTCCCAATAATCATCCAGTGCCCTCTTGAAAGCCTCAATTGAATCTACCTCCACCACACTTCCAGGCAGTGCATTCTTTACCCTAACTACTCACTTTTGTGAAAATAATTCTATTCTCACCTTGCATTTGTTTCTTTTGCAAATCACTTTAAATCTGGTTCTTGATCCTTTTACAAATGGGAAGTTTCTTCCTACTTATTCTATCCAACCCATTCATGATTTTGAAAATCTCTTATCAGATTTTCTCTTAGCCATCTTCTCTTCAAGGAAAACAGTTCCAATTTCTTCAATCTATCCTCGTAACAGAAATTTCTCATTCCTGGAACCATTTTTGTAAATTCCTTTTGCACTGTCTCCAATGCGTTCACATCGTTCCTATAGAGTGGCACCCAGAACTGTACACAACACTGTGGCTGAGGTCTATCAAGTGTGTTATATAAGTTCAGCATCACCTCCTTGATCTTGTACCTCATGCCCCTGTACTAAAACTGAGGATATTGTGTGCTTTGTTATTTGCTGTCTCTACCTGTCCTGCCACCTTTGTAGAGAACAGAGACGCTGAGTGTTTTGCAAGGTAATTAAAACTAACCAATGTTAAGGGCCCTGATATTTATGGGCAGACAATGAGGAAGCCAGAATGTATGATTGTGAAGAAGTAATGGAGGGAGATATTTCAGGAATGTGGAGATCCAACTCAGCATTGTTGAAATTTTGTTTCCCACCTTGTAGCTGGCAAAGTTGAAGGCTGCCAAGTGGGACAGAAAGTGGTGGAAAATCATCATTGGAAACCATTAATAGCTGGCTTTGGCAATTGGAAATCATCGAGCCATTTGGGAGCAGAGAACAATCTAAGGGAAAACAAAGATTGGTGTAAAGTGAGGATAGCAATCTGGGGGAGATAGCGATCAGGGTAAAGAGATGGGTTGGGATTTGTGGCTGGGGTGATGGCCATTCATGGCAGCAAAAAGTCTGTGACTGGCTG